CCTGCTCATTCAGTCTGTTCTGAGTTGGACTGCACTCAGTCTTCCTCCCTCTGTAGTTTGTGAGTGCTCGGACCAGGTGAGAGAAATGACAGGGTGTCGGGGTCTACTGAGCTTTTGTGAGGGTCTTCTTGCTAAGTAATAACCTGGGGGAGGTCATCACAAGGAGAGACAGGAAGCTTCCTGGTAGCACCTGGCCTTTATAGCAAAGTCACTCCCAAGAAAACCTATAAATCTATGAGTAGACTGAACCAGACTCTGCATGAAGGCAGGGTCCTCATGAGCCAATCACCTCCCGGTATTCCTTCAAGTCCCAGTAAGATATAATTTCAGGAATTGAGTTTCCAGCAGAGGATTTCCAGGACACAGCCACTGAAACCATACCATGAAGAAACTTTTCAAGTGGAAACAAAAGCGCTAGGGGAGCCTCCTTTTTAAATCCCCATTGATGAGGGTTTATTTTCAACATTCCCCTAAAGATTTCAGGCTGGGAAATTTGAGGTGGGAGACTTGGTGGTGGTGATATTCATGTACCTTATGTCCTGTCTGCTGTGGTGAATGCAAATCTGCTCTAATCTCAACAAGGGTATACCCATGCATTAAAATTTCGTAGAGATTTGTTTTATGTGAGAGACAAAATGTTGATGAAAAGTATGGGGGTGGAGCTTTTTCTGTCTTGGGCACATACCTGTTTTCTGACTCCCTGGCAGGCATCATTCCTGAATCTACTAATAGAAGATGTCACAAATCATGTGATGAAATATAAAATGGAGTGTCTGGGGCTAAAACTCAGTGGCACATGGCTGGCCTAGCTTAAGTGAAGCTTGGGCCAGAGCAAAGCACTATAAATGCAGAGTACTAGTGTAGAACATTAGGGATAGCACTTCATAAATACATCAACAAATAATGTAAAGGCATGTTCTTCATCTATGTGCAGCAATATATATATATATATATATAATCTACAATAAAATCTACGAAATTAACTACAACCTAAGGTCCCCATAAAGTCACAGAAAATAGGGGAACTGTATCCATGCCATGGGAACATGTGGGGTTCTCATGTTTAATTAGTAGAAAATGATGTATCATGCCCTCTTCTGATGGCACATGAGGAATTATGGCCTCACATTCAGTTCCTAAGACTAGGGCAGAAGGAATGCTGGAATCCCTGCTGGTCTTGGAGCATGTCCAGGTCACTGACCACTTGGGTTGGTGCGTTGTTGGCTAGAGAAGATCTCCTCCAGCTTCAGCAGCTTCCACAGTTGTCTGTTTTCAGCCAAAGAGTTGATCCCCAAGGAGATAATGTGATGCTCTGGAATCTCCAGACCCAGTGACACTGTGTAAAATAAGACCTGAATGGACGAAATCCTGTGGAAAATGAAGTTCTACCAGGACAAGAGTTCTGAGGAAAGAAGAGGAAATTCAGCCCCAGTGTGGTTTCTGATGAATAATGAAAGGCACCAGGTACTGAAAGCTGAGCTCCTGGGCGAGTCCCATGTTGGAGGCCAGCGTGGCAAATTTGCCTGGCTTTGCTCTTCCTTCCAGCCTGCCTCCCTTTCTTTCCTTCCTGGAGATAAGAGCCAGGGTCTTACCTATTCCTTCTCTGTTTGGCATCCACTAGAAATGAAAACCAAACTTCTAATGGTGAAGCATGTTACATCAAATTGAGCCAAATGCAAGGAGCCATAGTTTCTGGAAATGACTGGCTTGATTTTCTTTCTCTCCTTTTTTTATTTTTCAAATCGGAGTGGTAGAAGCAGAGCAACAGAAAGGAAGGCTGGTTCTCTCTTGTGGGGCAATACTACCATCCTGAGGAAGTCCTTTGAAGAAGCCCCACCCCCTGAGCCCATCCTTCATGAAAGGCCTAGGAGCTGACCCAGACAGGACCCTGGGGTGCCTGAGGTCCCATTACCAATCTAGGCCTCCAGGCCTATTATTGGTCTAAGGCCAGGTCAGAGCAAAGCACCATGAATGCAGAGTCCTGTTGTAGAATGTGGAGCATTAGGGACAGCAGGACTGAGCCTACAGGTGCCTCAGTATGCCCCGTCCTGCTGTTGTCACACACCTGCAAGGAGGGATCATACTGCATTCAGTCTTGATCCATCTGGACCCTCCTGGGAGAGCTGCTTCTACTGTAGGCTTCCCACTGGTCCCACCAGGCCTGGGGCCTGGGTCTACATCTGGGACGGAAGTGAGTCAGGCACACAACCAAGTGTCCTGCTGCCTACATTCCCTCTTCCCCATGTCCTTGGTGTAAACATTTTCTACTCCTTCCTAGGCAAGCATACCTGAGCTTTGTCATCCGAGAGCCCAAGACAGTGGGATACCATGAGGAACCACCAGAGAAGAAGGCTGAGTGAAGAGCAGACATGGGAAGAGGTGGTCACGTGGAAAGTGAGTTCACAAAGAAAGAAGATGGAATAGGGTAGGCCCTTTTTTTTTTTTTTAAGAGAGAGAGAGAGAGAATTTTAATATTTATTTTTTAGTTTTCGGCGAACATAACATCTTTGTTGGTAATGTGGTGCTGAGGATCGAACCCGGGCGCACGCATGCCAGATGGGAGCGCCACTGCTTGAGCCACATCCCCATCCCAAGGGTAGGCCCTTTTTGACTTTTTGGTTATTGTTTGTTCAATGTGGTCCTGCCACGGAACCCAGGACTGTGAATGTTAGATCTCACATTAGTATCCAATAGAACCCAAAAGGAAAATTTAAGCGGGGGAGCATATTTCCCGAGACTGAGGAAAATGCAGGTCCACACTTTCTGGAGTGTCTCTTCTTCTGACAATTTTTTTTTCTTTTAAACTGGAGAGGCACACACAATGGGCCTGGAGTCAAGTCTGGTGAGAGAAAAATTTTCATAGAGTCCCACCCCATAAATAAGTTCTGCATGAATATCTTTAGCAGGTAAAGGAGGCAGGGCCAATAGCAGGTCTATTGGGCTGAAGTTCCAGCTGGGCTTAGCAACCTCCTCGTTGGGGGCCATGCAGGACCAAAGCACAAAGGCAGAGTCTTGCAAAAGCAGATCCGTGAGAGACACCAGCTTTGCCTCCAGTGGTGCCAAAAAAAAAACTGGCCTGTCCTGCTGTTCTCACACAGCTTCGAGGCAGGATCCATGTGCTATTAAACTGATGTCACAAAAGGGCATTCTGTGTCTTGCTCCAATGGAGAAACGCGAGGCAAGTGCCCTCAGTAACCTGCGTTGGCCTTTGACAGGGTTTCTCTGGTCCAGTCCTCACAGATTCCTACCAAGGCCCTGCCCCCAAGAGTGTTACTGGTCCCCTGGGGAACCCTGGCTCTCCGGGGTTCTCTCTTCTTTCTTTGGCTCTCCAGGTGCTTTGCTGACAGAGCACCAGTGCCCAGGTCTCCCTCAGGGCCCTGGGAGAAGGCAAGGAGGCCCATTCATTCAAGCCTCCTTCCCAGGTGGCTGAGCTGTTGGGCAGATGGGGCAGGCAGGGAGTTGGAAGATCCTTGGGCTCACATCTGGGCCTCCTTGCCTTCTCCTAGGGCCCTGAGGGAGACAGAGTCGGTTCAAGGATTGTGGCCCGTCCTGCCCAGATGGCAGCCCAAGCCTCT